GGCTTTTGACGTGGTATATAGGATTGTTCTTTGCTTTTCTGTATTGTTTTTAAGTCTTGTTGTTTAAATTAAATGTTATAGATAAGAAGTTTACTATGTCTCGGTTAGACTTTATGCCTATATTATGTCCTAATGTGTTGAATGTTCCTATAATCTGTTTTGTTATTTGTATATAGTTCTGCTGTTGCAATTTCATATCATTTTTAGGCCATCATACCCGTAGAAGTATTATGTATTTTGGTTAATAATGTGTTAATTTACTGATTATGAATATACGTATGAGTTCGCATTATTTGTGCCTTTATAGCTGCCCATCGTTACATCTAATGCCTGATCAATATTGGTATTGCTTTTATTATTGGTGTTACTTTTTTATGCATTTTGTCGTAATATAGTATTGATTTCCTGCAGTGTTTGATAATGTTTAGATATTTATTTAAGATGTTTATCTATTGCTTTGCTAGATCTAGTTCATTGTTTACTGTTTTCATTGTTGGATGAGTAGAAAACCTTTATGTTTAGTTGCATGAAAAAACAGTATTTTTGTTAGTGATGATGTTAAACTAAGTTATTTGTTTGTTTTTTTTTCCTTTGGTTTAATATGTTCTTTAAATTTGGGCATATTTATCTAGAGTTTGCCGGCTTATATTTTGCGAGGTTGGTTTTTGTGGGATTTATTAGTCTGCATGTTGACTTATTTAAGAAATTGTCTTTGTGGCCTTTTGAAGGATTCTGATATCGGTAATTGTTTTATTCCGTTATCTAATTTCGTTTTGGCGGCGAAGGTTTTTGCTTCTTTCTTTATGCCATTTTCCAATTTATTATTGCAATTTCCGTCGGATTTGATTTCTTTTTCACTTTGGTTTATGTAGTTGCTTGTTTCTATTTTACAAATGGCTCAAAATTTTCCACTTGTAATATATAGATTTTTAAATTATTTTGGACGTTTTCCTGTTGTTTTTTTTTTATGAATTTGTTGTGCATTTTTTCTTTATTTCTAGTTTGTTTAATATATTTATTATTTTGTTTTCGAATGCGATGAGGTCGCTTTGTTGGGGTGGGATTTTCATTGTTGTACATCCGAAATTGTTGTAGTTGTTGTTGCTGCTGGTATTGTCGTTATTGAGAAAGTAGAACACGTTCCAACTTATGTGTTTTAAGAAAAGTTCGATCAGTGAGATTATTTTTTTTTCATATATGATTTTGTATTCATGTATGTATGACTATATATTTAGTGAATAGTTGTACTGTATTCGATTCATGTTGATGTGGCTTTTTATGTAGGAATATATCCGTAGTGCTGGATGTTTGGCGAAAATAAATATTCCAAGACAATTTATATGCTCTCTTAATTGCTTTATGTAGGATTGACTTCTTTTAAATGTGTTGTGCTGACCATTTGTTGCGGAGAATCCAATTGCCCTGAAGAGAGAAGGCATTACAAGAATGCGTTTACGAAACATTCGAAGTCGATATGACTGATGCATAATGTTGGCCGAAAGAGGGTAATACAATAGAAAGAAAACAGTCACTAACAAATCTTACACCACTTAAGCAACACCAAAAAACTAAATATATGTTGAAACTTGGATAAGCATGGAATAATAATAATACAACACAAAATGTACTTTAACAAAATGTATTGAAACAAGGAAAGGGTACACAATATTTACAGTTAGTTTGGTATATTCTTGGGAAGACTGTTCCTGCATCATGGGTTGACTAAATCGCAGTCGGGCAGAGTCTCTCGATTCGATCTCTTCTCTTCCTACTCCCCCGTCTTCCGGTACCAACCCATATTTATATGGTCGGTACTCCACTTATGCAAATTAGGTGTATCGTACCACAACAATATAAAAACAGATAAATCAACAAACATTAAGTGAAAAAAATCACACACTCACACAAAGATATCAATTTACAGCATACTATTCATTAATACGAAAAGGTTAATAAGTGGTAGCAGAGAAGCCAGTAGTCCTGAAGTATGAAGGCATCGCAACAATGCGCTCGAAGTTGGCATTAAGTGACAAGTTTCTCAATATTAATTCTATTAACGCTCTATCAATACCTTTTGATAAAGACAAAAGCTGTCTACCCAAATTGGCTTTTTCTCAGTAATCTACGGCAAAGTACCTGCAATTTTAGCACTTACCATTTAATCCTCATCATCATCATACCCTTGACTTTTGTAGTCTTAGAGGGTATCCGAATGTGGAAACCACACTAAATCTCCTCCACATCGGTCTATCAACGACAGCCATCAGCAATTCTAGTATCGTCATACCTGTCCAATTCTTGACATTGTTCAACCATTTAAACGATGGCGTCTTCTCCTACGTTTAATTTTAATTTTTTTATATATATATATATATATATATATATATATATATATATATATATATATATATATATATATTTCTGACTACTTATTTTTATACTAATCCTTTCCTGTTTTCTCATCAATTTCTTGATGTTAAGATGAAATGTATCAAAGAAGGCGCCATAGTTTTTTTCAACCTACGTACTATCGACCTTTTCTAAGAACATCTTCAGGGGTAAATTACAAAAACAAGGTAATGTAAATGCCATAAAACTTGCATTCCGTGATAGTGATTTTTAAACGCAATCACTGACGCGCTCTATTATGGAAAAACTAATTAGACAACTGAAAATGAGCAGGATGAATTAAGTAGTTATAATATATATATATATATATATATATATATATATATATATATATATAACCAAGTATAGGATTGGTGTATACGGAATAAATTTCAATAACCAAAAATTACTATTCTTAAAAGATTGCTCAATACATAGTAGAGCAGATATAATTATTTATTTAAAAATTATAACATAAACATGTTACAAAATCACTACAAAAAATAGCCATTTTGTTTTATTTTTAAATAAATAATTATATATATATATATATATACATATATAACATTTTCGAATGAAGATTTTTGACTAAGCACACACATGCATATATATATATATATATATATATATATATATATATATATATATATGTGTGTGTGTGTGTGTATGTATATGAAGACAGCTATTGAAAAATGAAGCTGACAGTTACCATGCAGTGTTGTCTTTACACATAGTCTACACGCATGAAATAATTATAAACTCTATGTTTATAAATAATGCTGAGCGCTCTTTCTCGAGAAATATCGCAGATTTAATCAAACTATTTGTTTCTTTGAGCACATGTTCGTGTGGAATGTATTTTCTTATCACCTACACAGACACCGAAATTATAATTTTGTCTTTTTGTATCTGAGTTGCATAATATGTTTTAAAGTAAAGGAGCTGAAAGGAGAAGAATCTAGAAAATAATTGAATATCGCAGAATTAATATTATTTATCAACATTTTGGAATACTAAAGTTACCGACATTTTCCTAGTCTTGTATCCGTTTCCGAATGTGATAGACACCCGATAAAAATGTAATACACATATGGACTCAGCATGACTTCTGATAGTAAAGATATAATTGATATCTATCCTTAGCACCAATCGTTTTACAATTCAGTTCATTCTCTTCTAAATTGTTTTAAGTATGTTATCTTTGTTGAATATATCATTATTTTGATAAGTTTTTCATGTCGTCTCTGCTTTGGTCGCAACATGATAAGGAAATATATCTAGAAATTTTACTGCGTTAGTTACCTAAAGAACTCCATGATTGCTCCAAAAGAAAATTTATTTTTGTATTTCCTCTGCCTATCCGAGAATAAACAATACTCGCATAAAACCGATAGATTCATTCTACGTTCTCTGAAATTCAACAGTGAATTTGTTTCTTTTTTCTATGAGTTTCTAAGTTGTAGAAATATATTGTTATATCAGGAAATGTATTTTCGAAATACCACTGAATCTGACATATATATATGTAGAAAGCTGTAAAATAAACAACATCAATTTTGTTGAAAGCAAAATGATAAAATCACTTAGATGCAGAATGCTGCAAAAAAATATTTTAAACAGAAGAATAAAGATAATGTTTAACAAAGTATGCTGCATTCTATTTATTTTTAATTTTGTAAAGTTGCAAACATTTTCCAGTCACATTAAAAATAATCAGTACTAATACGGAATTTATTAGGAATAGTATTCAAAAATCTGATCTGCGCTAGTCCATGTTTTTAAAATCCTTGCTGATTTTCAACGTCTATTTCTTAAATGTGCCTTATTACGATAATCTTTTCTGAGAAGATTAAAGATAATACTACTTACAAGTAAATGAGGCAGGTCAACAAGCATAGTGGTAAGGTATTGTTAATTTTCCCTGTACGGAACTATGAAACTCCTTTACAAATATAATCTTTATACTCAAAGATTTGTTTTTCATTTATAATAACAGGTTTGATTAAAAATCCCCAAATCGAGGATAGTTTATCCACATCATATGTTATGCCTTCCACGATTTTACCCATTAAACGATCTGGAAATTTATGTCCTTAATAAAATCAATTTAACCCTTCTTCTCTAAAGATTTATAAGTGTTGGGCTGAAAAATATAAAATAAAAGAAAAAATATTAAACATTATTTTTAATCTTTGTAAGATAACTATTTTTACTTCAACTATGAAATCTTTTTTCGATGAATTACGAGTTGTTTCAAACGCAACTTATTTATTTATAATATATTAAAATTATTTAATTTTAAAACCAGTTCTATGTTTTTGGTCAATTCTGTGTCCTGCTGTTGATTGTAAACGACAGTGTAAAATATGGCATACAAACCAATGTATCGCGGTTGAATTCTGAAACAATTCACATAGCAAGGCGCAAATATAGCTAGCCCAAATAGAGTCAAACATCCTAATAATCATTCAACTAAGGTAGAAATCTAAGCCAACCACATGCCGACACGTCTACTTCGAAATGTGTACGCCATTGTGCAACTTCCGTTGATTTTTCGCTGCATCATTGCCTTGCAATTAAGTGTTAAAAGCAGGTCGCCAGGAAAAACAGAGTCAAAAGAAATGATCGCCAAGAGGTGTCTGAAATCGATTCCACTCTTTGCGGAGAAACTGCTTATTATCAACACAGGCAATGCCCGGTTCGTTTTCACGGGAACCTCCGTAATTGGTAAGTCGGCCTTTACAAGTACGGACGATAAAAACAAGGAAGGAAAGAAAGAGAGAAAGAAACACAAGAGAAAAGTATAAAGTAAGGAAGAAGTTAAGCCGAAAAGTAAATGGAAAGGATAGAATTATGTTTGAAATTAAAAAGAAGGAAGTTAAGAACGAATGGAAGAATAAAGGAATGAGATGAAAAAAAATGAAGAGGAAAAGGAAGAAAAAAGATAAAAGGAATAAACGAGAAAAAAAAGAATAAGAAGAAAAACAAAAAAATGCATAAAACTTAGTAAGAAAAAACGACGCTGAAGAAAACTGAATAACTAAATAAAAACGGAAAGATTAAATGTTTTTGACTTTACATGTTACTCATCTCTGCTGCAATGATTGTGTTCTTCAATCCATATACAAAAATAAATGATACATTCATTTCCACAAAAATACAAATGACTGACTGCCCTTTCGCCTTTTTGACTAACTACCATTATTAATTCTTGACTATTTTATATTGCATCTTAATTTTAGTTGCTTTACTTAGTAAGTCCGTATATAACCAATCTCCATGATTTAGTAAACATAGATTGCGAAATAAGGCTTAATCAACATTCCACAGAGGAATTCATATTTTGGTAAACGTCTTTTTATATCAGCTTCACTTTGACTTACTTAACATGGCTTTTACTTTTAGTAAAAGATCAAATTAAACATTAAATACATTTTCACTCCATTCCTTTGATCACTCGGTACCCAATTTCTTATTCTAATTTTTTATAAACATTAGTCATGTGATTTTAGAAGTATGCGCGTGTAGTGAAACAGATGTCGGCATGGCATATGGAATCGGCCATCCGAGTTATTCTATTCCCTTTCGCTGATAATGCTCTTCAGAAAACAATAACCCCGTTTATTCACACCCCAGCCAGCTATTGATCAAACAGCAGGGTATAGTATTGGAGTATTGAGTGGCAACAAGTATAAGATAACCACATTAAAGAATTCCAAACCACGAAGAAGGCAACAGCTTGTTTTTCATAGCAGCTGCTCAAACTGTCAGTTTACAATACTGTCTAAAGAGCAAAATTAGGTAATAAACATTTGCGTAGCTTAAGCAATAGTGTAGATGCTTTTCATAGGTTGTGTGAACAGGGCAGAGGAGTGGGAGTTCGAATTGGATTTAAGCTTACCTTCCTATCGTCGCATTTAACACAATAGCAAATGCTGAACAGCGATGAAAAGTAAAATTAAAATGATGGGAATACTAATAAAAATTTAATGATTGCTGAAAATGTTTCATCTAATAATTTTTTCCGATAATATTACTACTAATAATATTACTTATTTAAATAGAGCAAACAGAATGAATAAAAAACAAGGATTATTAACATTGGGTCATGTAATAAAATACTTGTTTTTTTTTATATTTTATACATTACAGCCATTCTGGTCGCAAAAGGTATAATATATCTTTCTACACAACTAACAGTTGCTTTTAAATGTTTTAGAAACAAAGGTTAAAACTTTTTTAGAGTTTCTTCTGTGTTATTCTAAATAAGAAACGTATGAAGGAAAAGTCACCATACAGGTAGCTGAAGAAAACGTGTTTTCCTATATTGAATAAGAAATCTTGGTCTCTGCAAATATACACACATATGAACGCATGTCATGCCCTCCAAAAAATCATTAATCACTGACGAAGCACGTAATATATTTGTAGAGAAACCAGCTGTCGTATGTAATCCTGTAGAATGAACAATTTAAATCCAAGTGAGCAACATTCAACTATATGTTCGACTAAACCACAAAGAACATGGGTACATATCGATGTGTGTGTGTGTGCATGTATGTTTATCTGTAAACCTAGAGCAATATTCGGCATAACAATCAAGTGTTCTTGTGTTAAATATTTTATATTGGCAAAACTAAATAGAACGAAAATATTTCTCAAAGGAAACAAAATCAGTCTCGATTTTATTACGGATAAGAAATAAATAATCTTTACTTTGAAAATATTAACGCATACAGTTCATCAACGTGCCATACGTGATACACACTTAGGTGATCATGCATCTTTCGAGGCAAAAATCTTTCCCACAGTAGGTTGCCATTTCTTTCTAGCGTAGACCAGTTAATATCCAAGAACCCGGTCTATTCTGCTATTTACCCATAACTGGAGAGGGAGAAGAAGAGGATTCGTACCTTTCCCAAAGGTATTGACATATAAATGAATTTAATGTATTCGATTAGAATTCGAACTCCTCTCTCCGATTCCTCAGTCCGAGCCGCTATCCATTACTCCACCGCACACAATGCGCTAACAGATTCTAAGAAATCATGAACGATGAGCCTCACCTGATGTTTAGAAAGATTGAGCTTAAAAAGTAATGCATCCCTATCAATGTGTGATCTCTAACATAGCTAGGCCCTGAATTTTGAATACATTTACTATTATAAATCACAGATACATTTAAACTAGTTTGTCAAAAATTAGAACGAGATTGCAAGTATAATTTGATTTTATACTTACTAAAGTCTCTCTTACTTTAAAACGTGCCTGATTATAAAGTTTTAGATATATACCTATAAAAGCAATGTTAATATAAATCACTTCAGCAAATACCATATGGTCTGAATCGAATTCTATTACAATAACAAGCTATTGTATTGCGAGAAAATGACCTGGCGATGTCCAGTATAAAAAGAGTTCACCCTAAGTTATAGCAAATTTGATATTGGGCCCTGTTACTCAAAAGAACATAAAACAAGTTAGGTTCATTAGAATGTTAAATTAGAAGGTACCCTAATAGACACCAAGTGCAGATCCACATCTCAAACAATTCCAGTGGCTGCCCCTGATAATGTAAACAACCTAGCTGTGTGTCTAGCATGTAAAAAGGAAAAACCTGATGTTAAATAGATTTAGAACTTCTAAATCAAAGAGGAAAATACTAAGAGTCTCTTGCATACCCACGTAGCAACAAGTCAAGCTCAGACAAAGCCTTCAAAACCAGAAACCTACTCGCTGATATTGAGGAAGCCCAGGGATGAATAAACAATAATCTTATGTATGGTTTGTTTCGTTTCGTGTTTATATCAATAATTACAACGTTAACTCGACACGTCTACATCGGTGGTTAGCAAAATAGACGCAAGAAGTAATTTAAGAAGTCTATCCTCACTGGACAGATGACTTGTGCTAGACTAAAGTGAATCAATAGGTGAAACAATTAGAGTTCGCTATATAATCATGAATTACTGAAATTTCTAATCAGTTGAGATTAATTTTCATAAAGAAAGGATTAAGTAACTGGCGTTCTATAAGTCACAAGAGAAATCTGCGACAGTTTGAAATAAAATAAAATTCTAAATTAAAGAGTTTATTTAGTTTGAATTGAAATGAGATTATCATTTAAATGAGAAAAAATGATCAATGTTTCAGGAGATAGAGAATTCATTCTACTTCATTTTCTGAACACAATTGCGAAATTACCGTTCCTTATCTGATTTCTTCAGAATATTTACAGCATATATAGATATTAATTTTCGTTCATAGATGCATATTTTGCGAACATTCGTATATATATATATATATATATATATATATATATATGTGTGTGTGTGTGTGTGTGTGGTTATAGTTGTTCCAACGATAGAAAAGTGTATATTTTAAAGCGAAGAGAGAAGGCACAAACCAAATGTTTTTGGTTATCACGAGGATTTTTCAAATATATATTATACATTATTTTACATATTTTTGCTACACGAGTTTCGGGTATATGGCCTTCATCAGTCGAAGAATTGTTATTTCCACACATTGTTTAAAGGAATCAAATTTTCCTTATTTTTTCCGATATTTAACCATTGCCTTTTGTGTGTAGTAGTAATGTATATGTTATTTTATTACAAGAAATTAGTATATATATATACACATATATACAAACACTTCCTATGTTGTGCGGGTTCTTTTGTGTGTGTGTGTGTGTGTGTGTGTGTGTGTGTGTGTGTGTGTGTGTGGTGGTACGTCTCGTGTGTTTGTTGTATGCCAGTATGTAAATACATACTGTCAACAACAAACACACGAGACGATATATAGTCGTTGTCCATGGATATTTTGTGTGTGTGTGTGTATGATCCGACTAGTTTCTTCGCCATTATGTGTGTAGGTGTGTGGGGTTATGATATGTTTAGTGCTGGTTAAATTTGTTTATGAAGTTTTTTTTTGTATTCATCTCTTTGCGATATTCGTCTAATATTAAAATTACTATATAGAGTTTTCTCTTGCCTGATAATTTGATGTTGCTTTTGTGAAGGGGAACTTTGTTGTTTAGTGCTTGGCTGATAAGGATATTGGACTTCTTTCGTTTTGGGGACTTCTGTCCTTAAATACAATTTTTGGAGTTGAAGTTTAAGTTTTTCTTTATTGTGAATTTTGTTGTGTGGTTTTTAAGAGTAAGAGTTTCTTTATAACAATATCTCAAACCCCATATCTTTTCTTGTTACATTTTGTGACTCCTTGTATTGTGTGTTGACTAAATTTCGATGAGGTTAATATGTGTTTGATGTTTTTTGATTGTCGTTTGCTTTCAATTATTAAGGTTGTTTTTAGTATATTTTTCAGTTTATCATTCTTGCTAAGAAGGTGTAGATTTCTTGTAATTTCTATAAATCGTTCTGGAATGTTCTAGTTCTATATTGAGACATATGCTAGAGTTCGGCGTTGCATTTCTTTGGATTTGGTCTAAAGGTACTTTTTCTGCTTATTCAAAACTTTTATTAGTGTTGTGACGTTGCGTAGTTTATGAGAGTTTTATTTAGTTGTTATAGGCGTGTTTTTTTTTTGGTCACTATAATGCAAAACATACGTGCTATGGAGTAGGCGATGGATTTTAGACATCATTTTTGGTTATGCTTTTCAAATGAAGACATTGTTGGGTGTCTGTAGGTTAGTGGTAGATATCTGTGATGCGATTTTTCTTTCTAATGAGTGCATCCATGAATGACAGTTCTTTCAAATTATATTCATTGGAGAATTTGATCTTCGGGTCCAAGTTTTGGAGTAGAGTGTGGAATTGGATAATATGATTTAAAGAGGTCATCCAAGTATCAAGTGTGTTTTTATATTTTCCCCATATATTTGTTCTATCTGTTCATGTAGGTTTTCCCCTATATAAGCTAATGTTAGGGTGGCATATGTTGGTACCAATGTTGTTCTCATTGCGGTACCTAGGGTTTGGATATAGTTTTTGTTGTCAAATTCCAAAGTGTTATTATTCGGAATAATGTCTATACTATTGATAATAAATTCCATAGTGAATCTG